CAGTGAATATCAGAAAAGAGTGAAGTAAGATAAATACCAATTACTCCAATTGAAAGAACTCAAATTGTTGATGAACAATTGATTAATCTGGGATTAAAAGATTGAAATTGCTTAAAGGAAATAAAACTAGGGTTCTTGAGAGTTTTCTAGGGCTTAAGGAGAAAAACTAATGAAAAACTCACTTTAAAAGTTAATTACAAAAGGGTATTTATACCCTCAAAAGATAGAAATTCGGAAATAGCTGAAATCGCGCAATCTTGAACATCGCCCGGTCAGACCGGGCAAACCTCGCCCGATCGGGCGGAGGAAAGCTGCGTAAAATACGACAGTTTTCCTTCTTTGCCCGGTCAGACCGGGCGAGCCTCGCCCGGTCGGGCGCGCGTAACACGTTTCCAGAATTGCATCTTCATAACTTGACTTCTTCATCGCCCGGTCTGACCGGGCGAAGCCTGCCCGATCGGGCGCGCGTTGCACCGTTCAGAATTGGGCTTCTTCCTGTGAACTCTTCATTGCCCGGTCTGCCCGGGCAAGCCATGCCCGGTCGGGCACTCCACATAAATTGCAGTTCTTGGCTATCAACTCTTCCGAATCTACTAAAAACACGTCCAATCGCCTAGAAACGCTTCATATTCCTGAAAAGCTTACTAAAACAATCGAATACACTAAAGAAGAGATTGTTAGCAAGAAATGGCTCCGTAGAGCTCAAAACCATATAAAATTACTAAGTAAAACCGGGGAAAACCATTGTATAAAACACGTATATCACCAATCTAAATCAAATTATTAAGTTAGATATGTTAGTTTAGATGAACTACTACAAGAGGGGGGGTGAATGGTAGTAGGTTCCAATTGTGAAACTTATGCGGAAATTAAAAACAAAACATAAAAGGAACTTAAAGAACACAACAAGTTTTACGTGGAAACCATCCAGTGCCTAGCTGGAAGTAAAACCTCGGCCCTATTGGGACTTATAAACAAACTTCACTATAATAGGCAACTCTCCTATTACAACCTATTACACAGGCCTTTGCTTCGCAAGTTCCTCCTCGGACACTTGCTAATTGATAAGAACCTATCCTATCAAACCTAAGACACACTCAGACACCTTTTTCGACCCAAGACACACTCAGGTTCCTTTCTCGACGTAAGACACACTCAGATTCCTTTCTCTCACTATGCAACCCAAGACACACTCGGGGTGACTCACTACCACTTGAATTTTAGAGATTTCAAACTCATACACTCAAATATGAATTTATAGAGAATTCACAATCTCACCCCAAAATCCAAAACACTCAAACCCATTTTCCCATTACAAGATCTCAAAGAATAACTCTAAATACATATATATGAATAATGAGATAAAACTAATATGTTGGACACTCGAGATCTGTCTGGAACTCACTGGACGTACTATAACCAAAACCTGATAGGAACTTTGACCAGGAGAACTGACTTAGCTTCGTGGTGAAGGATAAAACCATTAAGCAAGACCACTACACTTTCCCAGTCTCAACTTTGAATGAATACATATGAGCATATTTATAGTACACTCGAATTATTCATTTCATCTTGAAAAAGATAAGTTTTCTAAAAAAGATATTTTCTAAAAACAAGTTTTCCGAAAATATATCTTTTTGTGAAGGATAAAATCTGTTATGAATAATAAGATATAACTAACATAAAATCATATTTTATTCCAATCTTATCTTTTTGTTTAAAAATACTTTTTAAATAAAATTATCTTTTTCCAAAAGGGATTTATTAGAAGATAAATATATTTATTCAGTAAAACCAAATCCCTAAAAGATATGCACGTATTAGGTAAATATATATATCATTAAAACCGACTTTTAACGACGTGCATACTTAAGTTCCTATTAGGTTCCTGAACTCTGACAGTCTCTGAGTTCCTGACAAGTCAGTTACTCTAATTTCATTGACTGTCCGGGGTTCACCTTGGTTCTATATAGACGTGTTCCAGACCGACTTTTATGTCCAACATACTTACATGAATTCTAGAGCAATATACTTCTATTTCTCTGTCTTCATGTTGCTTCTCTGAAACTCTTGTTCTGGAATCCTGTAGTCTTGATATATTCTGGATCTTAGGGTTTGCCCCAACATTACACCGGAACCAGGTCGTTACAACCCGTTGATATATGTTCCTGTCAGGAAACACCTTTGCCCCAGCATTACACCGGAACCAGGTCATTACAACTCGTGGTATGTTCTTGTCAGGGAACACCTTGAAGTTCCATTTCTAGAACTCTTCTTCTAACTTTACTTGTATCCTCATGGATCTTCTAAAGTCCCTTTGTTTCAATTCCTTCTTCAACTCCCAGATTTTACTAAACCTGCAAACATCACAACACTAGAAAATCCTTATTAGATGGAAGTTTGCTCAATCATAACTATCATCATCAAAACCTCATAAGGGTCAACAAGTTGCCCCTTTTTGATGATGACAAACTGAGCAAACTTCTAAGAATAACAAAGTAAAGCAGAAGGTTAGTTTTTTTCATTTATAAAAACAATAAAGAAAACTAAACTAAATTAAAAGACTCTTATACATACAAGACCTATATATGCATATGATACTTACCTCGTGAAGCTAACATATGTAAATACCTATTTACATAGTTACCTTCATGGTTCCTTAGCCATAATTATGCTTATCAACCATAACACTCATTGTTCTTGTTCCTCTATTGCTTATCATATATTACTCAAGTTCCTTACATATACACCTGTCATTACTCAGGTTCCTTGTACCCTGTTCCAAGTATAACTTGTTCTATCTAGGCACAACTTAGCAAACACGTTAGATAGATAATCATCATTAGTTTACAATCATCAAAACCTAATTACTCAACAAGATCGGATCCGAACTTTAAATCGAATCGGATCAAATTGATTTTTTAAAAAAATTCAAATTTTCGGATCGGATTGACCTTGTTTGGATAAAAAAAAACCAAAATAACATATGAAGACATTATTTATAAATAAGTATTCTTACTATTAATCTTGTTAAACTATGTTTATCATCATATTAATATTAATCGTGTAAACTTATAACTTATGTTTTCAATACTTGTGTTAATCGTGTACTTTTAAGAACTGAATTTTAATTATTGCATTTTTATTTTTTATAATTGCATTAGGCCCAAAAAAATTGCAATGTATTTAATTCAGATTTTTGAATCGGATCCAAATAACCGAATTTTAATTCTGATTAGATCAGATTGGATTTGGTGAGGAATTCGAATTGGATTGGATTTGATGATTGAAGGCCGAAATTTATTTCGGATAAGATTGAATTTGGCGTAAATCCAAACCGAAAATCGAATGAACACCTCTACTCACCATGAGTCCAATAAATCTAACATTAATAATCTAATATCTGACATTAATAATCTAATATCTGACATTATTTATATTGGACTCACCTAATTTTTACTACAAAACTTTCCTAGAGTAAAAATTTAAGGTAAAACAAAGAAAAAGAAAAGAGTCAAAAATAGTCTAAGTCCCTTTATTAAAGTATTGATTGTAAACAAAAATATTTAAAATTATAATTAAAAATAAAATTAAAATTAGCTACCTATATGGGCTATATGAACTGATTTGTTAATCTATGTAGAGGCCAAACTAAAATTTTCCCTATTTATATTTGGGCCCCGTTCTTTAGAGCTGCTCTGCTCTGCTCAAATCAAATTTGCTCTGCTCTGCTCAAAAGAAATCTGTTCTCCTCTGCTTAATTTTCAAATAATATTTAGTAATAACAATTAATATTGTATTGATGACAATAATTTATTATTTTGAATAATTTTAATAATTATTAATATTAAAATAATTTTAATAATTAATAGTAATAATAATATTAATTTTAATAATTAATAATAATAATAATTTTAATAATAATTAATAATAATAATAATAATAATAATAATTTGAATAATTAATAATAATAATAATTTTAATAATTAATAATAATAATTATTATTAATAATAATAATTTTAATAATTATTAATGATGATAATAATAATAATAAGTATTATTATTATTAATAATAATATCAATAGTAATAATAATAATTAATTAATAATAATTAATAATAATAATTAATAATAATAATTTTAATAATAATTAATAATAATAAAAATAATTTTAATAATAATAATAATAATAATAATAATAATAATTTTAATAATTAATAATAATAAAAATAATAATTTTAATAATTATTAATGATGATAATAATAATAATAATAATAATTATTATTATTATTATTATTATTATTATTAATTATAATAATAATTAATAATAATAATAATAATAATAACAACAACAACAACAACATTAATAATAATAACATTAATAATAGTATTAATAATAATGTTGAAATCTGCTCTACTCGGCTCTTCTCTACTTGGCTATCCTGTAATCTGCTTTGCTTTGCTGCCCTGCTCTGCTGACCCCTGCTCTGCTCTGCCCAAAAGCTCAAAAGAACAGGGCCTTGGTCTCTTATAAAGTATATGCTGAGAGCCAGATATTGAAGAACTTTCTTTTGGACAAGAAGATAAAAATGCTGAATGAGCGGGCTATAGCTGAAATAGGTTGGATGCTGTCATTTGTCTACTTGTGATAAAGCTGTTCAAAGTTGGATTAAGATACGGAGTAAATTGTATGAATGCAATGAACAGATCACAGATGATGGATGATGAATAATTTAGATGGAATAGCCTAACTGCAGGGGCATCGAACAGATGTAAAACTTAAATTTGCCGTTCCTATTATTATCGTGTTTGAGTCCATCCATCGGCCTATTATCCCAGATCCATATTCCCTGATACAGCATAAGAGTTGCATTGAATCTGAGGGGGGGCTGCCTTATTTCAGGTGGCAGAAGCTCCATAATGTAAACAATGTATTGCTGAAGCTTCTTCCAGATTCTACAATTGAACTGTTGATCGAGATCCAAAAATAAGCACTCGATTTGGGGTCAGTCGCAAAAAAGGAAAATTATCTCATTTTTAATTCTGAAAAATACTTGTCTGTATAACGTACAACTCATGTCAATGCTTACAGATTACAAGGACTCAAGACACTGACCCCAAATCCATTGCTTAATCTTGGGTTACGGAACCAGGAAATAAATAGGGGTATAAGGTTACAGTAAACAACAAAAAATACAGTTACATATGCAAAACATTGGGTAGCAACATGATGAAACAAAAACAATGGCTCCTCGCAATATTGCTTTCTCCAAATCCCACGCATCAGAGGGCTAAAGAAGCCTCAAGTGAGCTGTATCATTTAATCTTTTTATCTGCCAACCAGTTTTCCAAGAATGTTGTAACACAGTCACAGAAGAATCCTCTACACAAATCTTATGTGACATCACTGGGCTGCAACCGAGGATGCCCAGCAATAGGCACTTGATAGAAGCTGAATGACTGAAGACTCCAATGCAAGTTAAGGAATTCTGAGCATTTATATCACTAATAGAGCTTTGTCGGCTTGGTTCCTTGGGAGACATCTCCTCCTCATGGTAGTTTTCAGTCTTATCACCTGTTGTAGTAACCACTTGCAGCCTGCTTTTTCCAGATTTTTTCCTGGATAACTGCCGGTGTCTGTAAAGCAAATCCCACTGTGGTGCAGGGTAAGACTGTCCATCTCGATCATTAATAGAGTTTGCATAAACATGTGAACTCTGTTGGGAAAACCCGCCATCATTTGTGCGAGGAGAGAGAAAATCTGATCTGAGCTTTTCAGGCAGAACCAGTAAAGTCCCATGCAGGAACTGAACCATTCGGAATTCCACTTGCCTGAGTGACTCTCCAGACGGTGCAGCAAAATCTGGCTGAAGTCTGTCTACTATATTCAGTATGTCAGGAGTATACATTTCAGAGCGCGGGCAACCCTCCCAATGGCCCTGGCTCATATCTGTGAGTGCATCAGCTGACTGTATCTGTTGCTCAGGAAAACTCATCTCCTGCACAGATGCATTGATGAAAATAAATTCCAGGAATATGAGATTTCAGAAAGCCATATTTCAAGTAGCATACAAAAACAAAAGGCAAGAACAAGATGCATTATATGTCACTTGATATTCTTGGTATAGCAGTCGAAACCTTGTCCATGACAAATGCAGTTGTTAAGATATAATTTTGAAGATGTATTAAATTAAGCCAATCAATCAAAGCCTTAATCCCACAAGGGAAGATTCCACAAGTGACATACAGGACACGGAGAATGAAAAGCAGGGGCAGAGTCTTATTCTCTCAATAAATTGAAATAGGGCATCAAGACGTAGAATAATGCAGTTCACCATGTTTCAAGGAAATGAAGGATGTGGCAAGCATATTTCCTAAATAATACTGCGACACGGTCCAACAATTCTTGGATCTGTCTGGATATCCACGAAATTTGTGCACAGTTATTCTATGTGATAAAATAGAAATAGTCCATCAAGCATTATTTATAGAGTGCTATCAGTAATGCAAAATGGAAAGCAATTATATTACTCCGTATGATTATGGTTGCATCCTATAGTGGTAGATTTTAATGAAGCAAGCAATTAATTTGGGTCTAAAATAATCTACATATATATATTCACACAATGTTTAACTGAAATCCGGTATTTAGACGATAAATTTTGAAAAACTCCATCATATGCAAAATCTAAGTTTCCAGAAGCACAAAATCATTCAAAGAATTACTCAATTCTGCCCCTAAATAAAAGTCCAATTTGACCAAAGATCTTGTTCATAAGTAAAAGTCTTATTTCTCTACTTTCTTTGTTACTATTTTATTTTTATTACAGTATTTAAAATCAACTTCAACCAACTAAACCCTATTTCTTTTCACTATTATCAACAAACCCCACTAACTTGTTTTTTATATTCACCTTTAATCAATCAAGCCCCACTTCTTTTTGTATTCACCTTTAATTAACCAAAACCCACAATCTTTTTTTTTTTTTTTTTTTTTTTATAATTAACTTTCCTAAATACTTGTGCAAATGGAAAATGAGACTTCCATTTGGAGAGGGAGGGAGTAAATGTAATTAATTTTTGGCAACATCATAAATACATGACAATCAGATGAGTGCATATGTGTGAAGAAAAATTGTGACATTTACACCCTAAAAACCATAAAAGCAGAATACATGTATAATTTGAAAGTAATTCATCAGTTACTTCTATCTATTCAACCTATCTCAGGCTTTTAAATTTGAATGTTTATTTTATTATTTAAGTTAAGAAAATTCTCTTCAAGACATATGACAGTGAGCAGTGAGGCCCTTATCTAATAGATAAAATATGGCACAGCACAAGCAGCTTAATGGTCAAGAAAATGCTTTTTTCAGAATCTTAAACCACAGCATAGACTTATAATTTGTACATTAACATTTAACAAGAGCGTACAGTAATTGAAAACAGAAGCTAGGGTATCTTGTCCATACAAGCCAATGTATACAACATCAGACTGTCCGAAAATGTTGCAAGGTGATTATATTGATTAGTGGTTGATAGTACTTCCTTAAATAAACTATAGTAAACACTATAGAAAACAGGGATTTATTATTACGACTGTTTCATATTGACTTCATGGAAGCTAAAAATGGAACTCCTTGCTGTTTGAGGAGTTTTCAAACCAAAAAGGTTCCTTTGTTTCTATATGATTGGGTTGTCAATAAAATTGGTCAGTAAGAGAGGCTTTCAGCTTACAATTACCCAAAAAAAAAAAAGGAGAGCGAGAGAGAGAGAGAAAGGTAATATCTTTCATGAATTAACTTCTAAGATCCTGCTTTGGTTATGGACATTATTATCAGGCTGAAATGAAGTCCAGCATCCATTTACAAACAACTGGGCTTGAAGGTGAGAGATAAGAAGTCAATCTAAACCCTAATTATTGACAGGTGAAAGGTCAAGGAAGAGACAATGAGTGTATCATATAAGAGAAATTAGAAGCTATAGGGGCACAATGCTTACACATTTCTACAGTGGCTAAGCAAAGTATGTTATTGGGGGATTGTCCTACAAAGGAGGGTATTGAACTTCAAAGTTAAGAGTGGTATGGCAAGTAGGGCTATTAGATAGCAAGTTGCCAGCTGGACTTATTGATTGTAATTTTGATTCAAGGCCCTTTCTAGTTAGAGATGGGAAGTTCATATGCCAACGCCTCAAGAGCCCCATCTATCTGCATTCCTAATTTCACAAGTGATGTCTTAGGAATGATGGAGCAACAAGCAGCCAAGTAATTAGCAGGCTGTGAACTTCAATTTGCAAAACAATTAAAAGAAAAGTGCAAAAGTCCTACGAGCCAAAAGAAAAGGAAAAAATCTCCCATGTAAAGGGTAGAAATATTTAAGGGAGACAAGGTAGAGTAATTAGAACCTTGCAGGCAGCAACTTTTGATAAATCCATATACAACTACTAAGTTTTGATATATCACAACCCCCGTCTCCTTCTGAGGATTTTCTTTCAGTTGGTTTACGATAGAACTGAGTTTTCCCTTCTTGCAGCAGTGCCTTAGTTAAGTACAATCTTACAACAAGTCTCGATCAAAAAATTTTGGGTTCACCTGCATCATTCCAAAGAGTTGACGTGCCTCCATGAATCCTTTAAGCTTTAACATACATCAATCTGTCATGGGTGTAGTTGGCCTTTGCCAAGACAACATTCCATTGTCCAGTTATCAATTGTTATTTAATTGGAATGACTGATGTGATAGGAATCAATGGCTTTTTCATTTTGAGGGTCCTAAATATAAGTAAAAATCCTATGAATACAAGTCACATTTATGATTTTTTAAAATCAATTCCCCTATAATCTTTTTTACACAATTTCCCCCCTCTCCTCCTTCCCTTATTATATACGAATTATATTATAACCTGTAAGCCACATTATATATATTCCACAACTAACTTTTACACAATTGTAATTGGAGGTTACTCTAATTGCTAAATTGGGAAACTGTTAATATTTTTCCGATAGACAAACTACCAGAAATATGAACTGGTATTGGCATCAAAACTATTCTGTATTTTAAAATTTTGACTATTCTGTATTTTTCCTTTTTGGAAGAAAAGATTTTAAACATTAGCAGAGCAAATTCCAAAAGAGAAGTGTAAGGGGTTTTGGGACAGAAGAAAAAGGAAAGTGTTGAATATTTTGGTGGTACGAAGGGAGTACATAGAACACCTTCATTGGTTGTTGAAGCCTCTCAACTCAAAGAATTAGCTTCAGTAGAGTTCAAGGTCATCACTACAAATTTAGTTGCCACTAATGTACGTGCTAAAATCTGTCTTATAAACTTCTTGTAAACTTTCACTTGAGACACTAAGACTTCTTTTTCATAATACTTGGACTTCATTAAACTATTTAGAGCATCAAAGTGGTCTTTTTCTCAATGATTTTGAATATTTGTCTTGCGTGTCTAGATTCTAAAAAGAAAGCTAAAACTCAAATTTGGGTATCAAAGAACAAAGTTTGACAAGTGAAAGAATCTGATAATGTCAAGAATTTTCATCCCAATACCCAAAGATATATCAAGTTAAAAAGTGGAAGAAAGGTAATTTTACTTTTTTTTTTCACTGCGCTGAAATGCTCAAACACTAACCTGATTAGACAAAAAACACATAAAATTATTGTGCTCTTAAGCCCACTAGATCTTTATTAAAAAATAATAATAATAATAATAAAATAAAATAAAAAAGCTCACTAGATCTTTATTTCATAAATCACAATCTTTATTTTGAAGCCTGCCGATGAATCTAACAACTATGACTCGACCAATGTCACACAAATAATTGTCTAAGCCCACGAGACATACGAACTAAAAAGGTGAAACATTCTCCATTTTAGGCACTATCTGGATTATCTGGAAGGGTAAACGACCGCTTCCCTTTCCAAAAAGGCATTAGAGGTTAATCTGGTTTAGAATGTAAAATGTAAAGACTCGATTGCACAATGATAATAAGGCTTTTACATATCACAAGAATAGAAACACTCCAAATAGATTTGATCATCTGAGGTCATATTGCTATATACTAAATTATTACCAAGGAGGAGGAATCCAAGAAACAAAAGAAAATCGTTTTGAGTTAAACACAAAACTTATATGCATGCACTTTACGTTGCTCATAGTAAGATATTTTCACAACACTCACATTTTTCACATTGATTTCCTAGAAATCTTTGTTTTTGTTTCTGCTAAAGCATCCAAGTATTAAACTGAGTAAGAGTAACTAAAACACATAATGCATAAACAATCTAGCAACATAACGCCTTTAAAAACATCAGAAATCTTATCATGATGAATTAGCATAGAAGAAGACATGGTCCTCCTTATTCTATGAACATAAGGCCAGATCATATTTGATTATCATATTTGCTTAAATGTGTCTACTGCTTTTCTCAAGGTATGAAATTTACTCCACAAATATAATCCATAAAAGATCAACATATCCTCAAGAGTGCAGCTTCTTGCTTGTACTGCTTTAAGTGCACATCACGCCAGCAGTCAGTATGCAACTCGAGAACCAAACAAGACGGAAAAGACCCATGGTCCACAACAGGAAGAAGGTATATGGATCCCTTGTCAATTGTCATAAACAAACATCTTAAGGTATATACCCAAGTCCAAATTTTAAGCATTTGAGAGATAAACCCTATTGAAGTATGTGTGATACAAGCACAGCTAAAATTATATTGCTCAATGCTCTTAAGCAATCACCATCACAAATTGATGAAACCAATTTAAACTCGTTTCAAAATTCCATAACTACATCTATGAAAATCCTTTTTAGTCTTAGTCCCCATTCCCACCTTTCCTGCCATGTATAGTACTCCACTAACTACAAAGTACAATTAGCTCGACAAACTCTCATTATTGTTATACTCAAACCAACGCCCTTGCAGACACAATACATGCAGCATATACTTGGATAATTCAGAGACGGCCAATAAATGCTCACATAAGAACTCCAACAAATCCTTCAAAGAATCCTCATCATGTAACCTCCTTTTACCATATGGCATCGTCTCTCCATTTGAGAGCCTATATTTACTCCGAACACAATTTGAAAAACATATTTCGACCTTAAAATTCAAGAATGTCCCTAATAACCAACAAATGGTAAAAGTTCAACTTCTCCCATATTACCATATATCACATTGTCAACACTAAACATAATACAAACAATTCCACAATAATCAATAGCATCCAATTACAATAAAAGCATTTAACAAACAAAACCCGAAAAACTATACCTGACAAACAGAAACAGCAGTAGCTTTAGCTCGATCCAAAGGAGAAGTATAAACAGCATTAAACCTAACACCTTGAGAATTCAAAAACACAGCCAAAGCCCTAGCTTGCCTCTTCCCATTAGTAGTCAACCCAGCATTTGGGCATCTCCCACTAATCAAATCAGGCCTCAAACTCATCTCACTTTCTCCATGATTAATCAAATAAACCTCCATCACACTACCCCTATCTCTCTCATCTTCAATCAATAGCATCCCATCCGACGAGTAACTCCTGCCGAAGCTCACAGTAGGCGGCGGAGGCGGAAGCGGAGGCGGCGGCGCAAGAACATTGTATGGGTCCCACACCTTGATAGAGGGTCCCATCCTAGGGGTCCCTAGAGAGGAAAGCTGAGGAGAAAGAGGGGAAGCTGAAGCATAACATGGTAACATCTCTGGTTCTTGTTCTAGAACCTTCTTTACAGTGTGTGAATCTCCTTGTCCTGTAACTCCATTTGCTTCTTCTTCATCATCATCTTCTTCTTCATCTTCTAGAGTTTGGACTGATTGATTGGAACCCATTTGGGGTTTTTTTTTTAGCTAGATTATGAAATTTGGCTGATTTTGTCAAATTATGATCTGGGTTATTTGCATATTGCAAGAACAAGTGATGTTTTAGAAGCAGGAATTATTGGACTTGTTTTGGGAGTTGAGAAATTTAAAAAAAAAAATAATAAATTGGGATTGTAAATTTGAATGATTATGTTTAATTATTGATAATTGGAGTAGTGAAGTTGGTTTGCTGGATGAAAGAGTGTGAATAGATTGCCGGGAATTGAGGAAGAGTGAAAGGCAGATCTGATGTGATGAGAGCTTTTACAATGAAATTCTGTTGTTTGTGGATTGGTAAGAACTAAGTAGAATCTTTGAATTTAAAGTTTACTGTGCAAACTTGAGATAAATTTCCCAATTTCAGTCGCACGACACTAGGGGTGTTCAAAACTAGGTCCAGACTAAAAAAATGGCCTGGACCAGACCAAATTAACTGGTCCGGTCTCTGGGCATAGAAATTTATTTTTTTTTTGGTCCGATTTGATCCAAGATCTCATTAAAATCGATCTTTGTTTCGACTGTTTTTTTTTCTTAAATTTATGCATAAAATCTTAATTATGGTTAAGATTAGTCTTAATAACCTTTGAAAACTTTATTTATTTTAGATTTTAACACCAGCAAAAAACCCCAAAATGGTTTTAACACTCCATAAAAAAAATAAAATAAAATAAAATAAAAAATTTAACACCATACCACTTTTCGAAAATTTGATTTTACCACCACTTATCTGATTTGTTCAAGAATTCGTTAAGTATGGCCATAAATTCACGTGTCGCTTTATTATTGGCCAAAAAAAGGAGAAAAAAAAACTACCTAGCCACCATTGCCCCACCTCTGCCACCTTAACCCAACGCTGCCGACGGCACATCCCCTCCCCCTCCCTCCCCCAACCCACCTGAAACATCCCCCTCCCGCGACCCTAATCGGCCCCAAAAGCCACCAAACCGAACCAAACCCCTCCTTCTCCGATTTTGGCCACGAATTCTGCCATTAATGGCAGAAATCGACCGATTTTAGGGCTGAGTGGCCTTAAGCCCTTAACTGGCCAATTTCGGGCATTAATTCGTGGCCGAAATAGGGGAAAGAGGGTTTTGGCTTGGTGGTTTTTTTGGGGCTGATTAGGGTTGCGGGAAAGGGAGGGGGAGGTTTTAGGTGGGTCGGGGGAAGGGAAGTGCCACCGGCAGCGTTGGGTGAAGGTCGTAGTGGTGGGGCGGTGGTGGCTGGGTAGTTTTAGGTTTTTTTAAAATTTTTATTATTTTAAAACAAATAAAATGGTGACACGCGTTATTGTGGACCCCACTTAACGGAATTTTTGTTACAGAGACCATTTGGTGGTAAAATGCATATTTTAAAAAATTTGTATGGTGTTATAATTTTTTTTTTTTATGAGGGTGTTAAAAACCACTTTGGGGTTTTTTGCTAGTGTTAATATCCAAAATTTCCTTGATTATATGAGCTTTTTTGTACTTAACATTCAAAAAAAGACGCTAAAATAGAGGTTTTTTTAATGCTTTTTCGAGTTTTCCATAATATTATTTAAAATTTAGCCTTTTTTAAATAAAATTCTAAAATCGGGCCAAAGTGATCTGGTCTAGATTTTTGGACTAATTTTTTTTGGTCTGGTTCAAGTTCGGTCCTAGCTTAATTGGTCTGGTCCGATGTTGGACCGATGAACAGCCCTACATGACACAACTCATTATTACTAATTATTGAAAACTTTATTAAAATCCCGTTCGGTATTTAGGTGGAAGCTAATTGATACTCTCTTTGTTAAAATATGTATTAAGATGAATTTAACAAGTATGAACATGACTATATTTAATTTTATTTATAAAGCAAAAATATTAGGCAAAGCTCAAAACAGTTTATATGAATTATGATAAAGTCAAATTGGGGCACTTAAACAAAAACAAAGTGAGTACTCTATATATGGAGTAATTGATTGCTCATTTTTTGTTCGTTCGTTTTCTAAAATTATGTTTGGGTTTTTTGTTCACCAACTTTTTATATGAGGCTCGTCACATGACATTGTGTGGCCAGCCATTATGGGGATTATTTTATTAGTGTTACAGGGATTACTCAGTCACTGTTACAAGAGATATTTCACCAATTTTACGAAGTATAAAGATTGTTACACATTTAGTGTTGTAGGGGTTATGTACCCAGTCAGTACTACGTGGGTTAATTGGTGAGTGTTTTAGAGGTTCCTTTGTTCATTTACAAGTGGTCACATAGTGTGGTCAGCCTTGTTGTCAAAATCGTGATCCGTATCGTAGGATCGTGTGATTCTATGATCCCATTTTAGTCAAACAAATCGTTGCAGGATCGGTCAGGATCATACAGAATTGGATGGGACGATCCCAGTTTCCCCTTAAATTATTATTGGATTGTATAGGATCGGGCAGAATCGGACAGAATCGTGCAAGATCAGTCAGAATTAGATAAGATCGGTCAAGATCATACGATCCTACTTTTTAGTGTAAAAAGCTAGGGGTACACTAAGTGTACAAAGGCATATTGTACACCACCAATTAATAATCGCCAACTCAACATTGAAGTTAGGGAAATTAAAAAAAGAAGAGGGAAAGGAATAAAAGAAGAGGGAAAGAAGAGCGGCAAAATTTTCAGGCTGGGCGCCATTGTGAGGAAGGTGAGGGGCAAAATTTTCATCTTGCGCCAACAATTACTGCTTCAATTAATGGATAATACAAAATTAAGTTCCCAAATAAGCGTTGAAATTCCTCATCTTCTCCCTCAAAATTTCATTTTTCCCCCAATTCCTTGGCGAAGAACATACAAATTTGAATAAGGGAATGAATTGTGAAGAAATTATTCAAGTGTGGATATCAATTTCGTCAACTAGTTACAAGTATTCGCAGGTAATCTTGTTTGTTGTTGAATAATTTCATTTAAATTTCCTAATTTGATGTTTTTGATAATTTAGGGTTTTCATTATTTGATTTAGAAGTATTTGATTTTGGATAAAAATTAGAAATTTTATAACAATTGATTTGAAAAGGAAAATCGTTTAGATTAATATATTGTTTTGTAAGTTGCTTTGGTTTTGTGTATTTTCTAATTGTTTCATGTTAAATGATATTTAATTGAAGGAAATTTTTTGGGTTCCATTGTAATGGAAGAAATTGTTAAATGAAATCGAGGTTTATTTGTTGTCAATAATTTTATAGGAAATGTTTTTTATACGTAGGATCATTTTGTCAATATTAAATTAACATATAATTTTATAGTATCTTTTTTCATTTTGTAGAATCTGAAATAAAATACAGCAGCGTGTTTGATATTGTGGCAGTGAAATGGAAAGCGAAAATGTGTCCCCTCGTTTGAACATTGATCTTAATGAAGTGATAAAGGATGTGATTAGCTCAATCGGAGATGCAGAATCAAACGATGTAACAAAAGAAGAAGCAGCAATGTCATTCGATATTAATGAAGGAGCTGAGGTAATAACATTGGTAATGAAGAGGTTGAGGCTGAGGTTAATAACAATATAAATGAACATGATTCTTTTAATCGGTCAAACGGAGAAGAACAAGACAGTCGTACTCCGGCTGTGGGTATGTATTTTGCAAGCGCCGAAGAATTTACAAGGTTTTGTCATATGTATGCCTTTGATAACATATTTGTATTTGTATATATGAATCAGATATGAATAAGTAAGCAAATATTTATATTGATCTTGTTAATACCATTTTGATGCTGTTTAAATTCAAAAAGATGTTTTTTTTTTTATGGAATTTGATGCTCAAAAATACGGAAAGATTTTGGTTTTTTAGCGCGAGTCTCATAATTTCGAGTTTAAAGAAATTAGACCTCGAATTTTTATATTGACGATTGGTAACATTAGTATGTATTTAAAAGTACTAATTTTTATTAGGACATTACTATTTATGACTAATAGGTGAATGGAAAATAAAATGAAAACAAAAATAATAATAATTGGTATATTGAATTTAAATCAATCATGACTCGAATTTTTTTTATTGATAATTAGTATCATTAGTATTTAAAAGCCTAATTTAAACTGGGATACATTAGTATTTATGGCTATTAAGTGAATGAAAACTAGAAATAAAACCAAATTATATATAAAAACTTGGTGTAGTTTGGATTCGAACACGATCACTTATGCATAATAGAAAAGCATCCACCAACTACACAAAGGGGTATCAGCACGTATGTTATCGTATTATATATTTATTTGTACTATTTATATTTATTTCAAATATATTGGATGATTCTATTAAAGACAATATGATTCCTTAAATGTTAATAGAACACTTATTAATATATTATGATGATTATTATTGTTGCATATAAATGTTCTTAGGATTGGGTTAAGGTTTAGGGTTAAAAATTTATTGGGCTATAAATGTTAGTATAATGGTATTGTATGTTATTGTTTGGTTTAATAATGTGTTTCAACAAGAATATGTATTAGCAAGAAGTTTTGTACAATAATTGTTCTGTTATGTGCATCACTTTCTAAATGGATTAGTTAACAGAAGTATCAGTTGCTTTTATAGAATGTAATGATTTCTTCTATTTGATATGTTAATTCTAGTCTATTTCTTCTATTGTTTAAATTTCAAAAAAAAAAGAGTGTGTTATTCGTTTAGTAACTTGTAAATTGTACGTTTTATATATTACCGCAAAGTTCAAATTGTAAGTTTTTTTTTTTAATAATATGTATTAACAAAGAGGTAAATTGTAAGTATTCCTTATACGAATTATATGTTATCAATTACTAAGTTAGTTTTCACTTATTTAAGTTTGGTTTGAAATCATACATGTATTAAATTCATCATATTCAAAACACATCCACTAAAGTGAACTATGTATATTAATCATTTGGTAATTAATATAATCGTTTTTGTATTTCTAGAATCATATACATAGACATGGGTTATATTTATTGTAAGTTTGGTGCATCTTACATTTGAATATATAAGTATTACTTTATCCGTTTCTTTATAGTTGCAAGACACACTTTATCACGCTATTTAAGAAATGTGAACTTCACCTGTTATACAACGTAATACACTTAAAATGGGGTTAAAAAGTTTTTAGGAGTATAATTAAGTGGGCCATGTGCTTTAATTAAAGCTAAGGTAATAATACAATTTTCACCATAAAAACCTTTTTATGGTGTGTTGCAACTGTTGTGACATTTTCATTTCAAGGAAGTGTTGCAACTAGAAAGAAACAGAGGAAGTATGTTTTTGTTTTTATATAAATATTTTGATAACATAGTTTCAGACAAATTTATGGGTTATATGAGGTTGAAATAAAAAAGTTCTGGTATAGTGAATAATCGAACACGAATCACTTGTCTA